GAATGAAGGTTTCATCACTGCAGGGGATTGTGATACCACCCATTGGATGATCAAATCCAAATTCTTCTTCTGCTTGACTCAACAAATCCAAGAACAAAGGCTCATTCAAGTATGATATTGGAACCACAAATCGCTTCTTCTGGCTCTCCCCAACATACACTGCAAAATAGCCTTTTGGGATGTCTAAGGTCTTTGAAGTAGCAGCCTTGTTTAGACCCTTCTTGGAGTTAACAATTCCTGGCAAACGGAATCCCATGGTTTTTATATTCTCGAATGGAAAATTAGAACAAGAAAGAATTCAGAGGACTTGGGAAACAGAGAAGACTTTGATGCTTGGCAAAGAGAGAGACTTGAGTTGTTGGTTATGAACCTGATCTCTTGTGTATATATAGATGAAAGAGTATGACCTGTTACATGAAATGAGTGGTCTCGAGGCGCAGAGATTTGCTCCAGTGAAGGATAATAGCTTGTGAGAAATCAAAACATAACATGGGTTGTCTTCCCACTCACATAAATCATCTCCACATGCAAATGACCAAACTGTATCCCTATGTATGAACATCATTCCCCACGTCTTATTTCATCGAGTAATTTGTTGTGGTCTAAAGATTGCTAATCTGTTCCTGTCAAGAAACTATGGACAGATATGTCTGAAGCCTGTTTTGTACTTCAAAGAAGTTTCTATCCACATATAAAGAGTTTGTAGGTGTCAACAAAAATTGTTGGGCATCATGTTCTCCAACAAACATACAGACTTAATAACTACCAAGTTCTCGAGATTAAGATGGAAAACAGACCATGTGATCCCTCAAATTCTTATGCCTCTTTCCAATCCCCACCCAATTGTCCACATTTCAGGTATTTTCATCTACACACATAATACAGATGATCCCGTAAACAATTCAAATCCTGAGTCTTTACAAACATGAAATCTACTGTTTGTGCCACATATAAAGAGTTTGTAGGTGTCAACAAAAATTGTTGGGCATCATGTTCTCCAACAAACATACAGACTTAATAACTACCCTGTTCTTGAGATTAAGATGGAAAACAGACCATGTGATCCCTCAAATTCTTATGCCTCTTTCCAATCCCCACCCAATTGTCCACATTTCAGATATTTTCCTCTACACACATAATACAGATGATCCCGTAAACAATTCAAATCCTGAGTCTATACAAACATGAAATCTACTGTTTGTGTTTTTCTAACATTTTTGGGTTTTAGAGAGAAACGAAATTGATTCTTGATTATAATTCACTCTGAATGATTACGTAGAAAGGAGTTAGCTTTATACAGCTATCCTGTTCTTCACAGATTTTGTAACTAAACTAATAGGCTCGTAGCTCACAACCTAATATTTAATTTATGATGAGTCTTCCTGTTTTATCTTGTATTTGTATCTGAGCGCAAAGCACGATCTATCTTGATCAAGGGCATGTACATGGCTCGTACAACTTCAACAGGCATTTGAAGAATATAGAGCTATTGCTCTGACTCTTGAAATTCAGATGCTAGAGTCCCACATGGAAAAAAGTTGAAAGATATAACTGCTTATAAGAACTTACACGAAGCATTGTAATTGATGAGCCATGTAGCGTGGGCTTGTAACTAATCAAGGTATTAAAGTGATTGGGTGTGATGGAGTCCAAGCTGAGTGGAAGAGACGGTTTCCATCTGGTTCACCACCTAGTGGATGAGGTCATCAACAAGCACGCCCTAAGTCTTGAGGATAGAAGGGCACCCTGCACTTAGGTTACAAGGGCACCTCACCCTCGATGGACATGGGTGGCAAAATCAAACTGAGAAATGTGACCTGGGGTGTGAAGGAAATTACAGTTTCGACTGGCCCGACCCCAAAAGATGTAGACGCCTCACCTTAGCGTGCTGCTTGGCTTGACCTTCATTCCACAATCACTTTTTCTGTATTGTCTCATATTGGAGAAAGTTGCAAACAGAAAACGCAATTTATGTTTTTGTTGATGTGAGTTAACCTACTAAATCAAGGAGATTTATTTCCTAAGTTAAATAGGTGATTGGTTCATATAATTGACATATCTTTGTATAATTCTGAGATATTCTCCTTATGAATTACTGTATCTATTTCCTTGTAAAGCACCCTTATAATCTCCTATATATACTTCCTTATGGAGAAGAATACAATAAAATCTAAAGTGTTCAAACCATATTCATATTTTAGCATGGTATCAAAGCAATCGACCCTAGAATGTTTTTAAGCCCTCAAATCATACCCTCAAATTCAAACCCAAACCCTAAATCTAATTCCTTACCTCTCAAATCAAACCCTCTTATCAAACTACACATACCTCTCAAATCCAATTCCTCTTATCAAACTCCTTAAACACATACCTCTCAAATCAAATTCCTCAAATTCTCAAATCAACTCATTCACCACAAACACAAACCCATATCAAATCTTCATTCCACTACGATGTCTGGCCCCTCCAAATACCTCCCACCCCAAACCCTGAACCACGAATTTTCAGCTGTATTAGTATAGGATATTTTATTGGGAAAGTAGGCTACCAATAAAATGTGGCTACCAGGGACTGAGAAACTATTGGGATTGTTATTGCAGCTGCCATTGGATTCTATCTTTGCCTGTTAAGTGTGAACTACCAGTGTCCAAACAACACAGGTCAGACATTTAGTATAAAAGTTCCAATATTTGGAATTTCCAAGCAATCTTGTCTACAACATTCCCAATATTTTACCCTATTGTCCAGCCACTGGATACAACTATTTCTGATATAAGCCATCTTCAAAGAAGACAGCAACGATGATCATGAGCCAGAAATCAAGTTCAGTGGCCTTTATGATGATGAGGCAGGACCAAGCCTTCACTCAACTGACCTCAATATTGAAATGAGAAGAATGAACATGGAAGAAAGCTGAAAGGGAAGTATATATGGAAGCATCAAAGCACAAAATAAATCTGCTGGGAAACAGAATCATGCAAGCGTGAAGAAATCAGCAGCCAATCAGCCCAAAAAGAAAAAAGAAGATCAAAGGTGTGAAAAAGTGAACTTAATATCCACATTGGATAGCATGTATATATTCATAACTGAACTAACATACAATTTATTGCTAAGCAAATTTTCTTTATGCTGATTTTTTTTTTTTTTTTTTTGTCATCAATGTCACAGAAAGAGAAAGCTAAGCACAGCTTTCTTTACATTGTAGTAACTATAATGTCCCATTCGTAATGTACATGAGCTTTATTGTCCAGTACTTTCACCAATTTGACTGAGTCCTAGAGGCATAAACTTAATTAGGACTTTTTCCCTATATGGATGCAGATATTTGGAGCATAAATCAGAGCTGATGTGCTGCCAGAGTCGGCCCATAGCATGTGCGGGCTGTGCGACTGCACAGGGCCCCCAAAATTTAGGGGCCCCCAAATGTTTTTAGAAGCCCAGCAATATATTATGTATTTTTTATTCCAAAAATATTATTATTATTTCCTAACTGTCAGATATTTTTTCCTTCTTGATTCTGCCGTGTTGTGTGCATCTCTCCTCTCTCTCTCTCTCTCTCTCTCTCTCTCTCTCATATTAAACTCTCCTGTGTTGAGAGTTAACTTAAACCAAGTCCACCGAATTCAAAGCCACATTTAATATTCTATTCACTTTGTAAAAGCATGCCCATGCTTTATGTAGGATATGTTTTGTTTATTGGCTCAAGGAGTGATGCTACTGTGGCTAATTTTGTATTAGGCATGCTGTCGGCAGTGTGCTCTCTTGTCTCTAGAATGTTTTTATTGTTTCTGCTGAAAGGTCTCTCTCTCTCAAAGAGGGGTTGCCTCTATTCGCATTTTGTGCTGTTGTTGTTGTTGTTTGAATTCGTAGTACGAAGCTTATGAGTTTTAGCTTTAGTCTTCTTCCTTCTATTCTCTTTCGTGTCTGTGTGAGTGAGTGTTTTCTTGCTTGAATTTCTTTGGGTTTCATCTGCGTGCTTGCTGTGGTGGTTGGTTTGTTTGTCTGTGAGTTTGCTGGTGTTGGTTTTTAGTTTTTCTACATCCTCCATCAAAATAAAGCCCTACCCAAGCTTTAGCCCTTTCCCCAAAATCAATGTTCTTTTCTCCCTCCCTCATTCACATGAGAATTCACCAACCATTGAAATTGGAAAATCAATTTATCAGCTCTGTGATTTGGAAGAGGGACTAAAGAAATATTTCTGGGAAGCTCCTTCTGAAGGTGTTCTTCCCGTGTCAGGAAATTTTGTTTCTATATGGATTTTTTTTTTCTACTTGTATACGTAGGGCCTCGACATCCATATTTGCACAGGGCCTCCAAAATCAATGGACCGGCTCTGATGGCGAGTTCTTCTGATCCAACTGGGGCAGATTTGGATATGAACCAGATTCACTTCATTTGCCTTCATTCATACACTTAAGCGGGAAGTGAGACGAATGAAGGTTTCATCACTGCAGGGGATTGTGATACCACCCATTGGATGATCATATCCAAATTCTTCTTCTGCTTGACTCAGCAAATCCAAGAACAAAGGCTCATTCAAGTATGATATTGGAACCACAAATCGCTTCTTCTGGCTCTCCCCAACATACACTGCAAAATAGCCTTTTGGGATGTCTAAGGTCTTTGAAGTAGCAGCCTTGTTTAGACCCTTCTTGGAGTTAACAATTCCTGGCAACCGGAATCCCATGGTTTTTATATTCTCAAGTGGAAAATTAGAACAAGAAAAAGAATTCAGAGGACTTGGGAAACAGAGAAGACTTTGATGCTTGGCAAAGAGAGAGACTTGAGTTGCTGGTTATGAACCTGATCGCTTGTGTATATATAGATGAAAGAGTATGGCCTGCTACATGAAATGAGCGGTCTCGAGGAGCAGAGATCGGCTCCATTGAAGGATACTAGCTTGTGAGAAATCAAAACATAACATGGGTTGTCTTCCTACTCACATAAATCATCTCCACATGCAAATGACCAAACTGTATCCCTATGTACAAACACAACCCTACGTCTTATTTCATCTAGTAATTTGGTCTAAAGATTTATTATTCGACACTTAGCAGGTAATGCATACATATGTAAGTAATATATAATTACAAGATTGATGTGGTCTAAACATTGCTAATCTATGGACAGATATGTCTGAAGCCTGTTTTGTACTTGAAAGAAGTCTTTTCTATCCACATATAAAAAGTTTGTAGGTGTCCAAACAATTGTTGGGCATCATGTTCTCCAACAAACATACAGACTTAATAACAACCAAGTTCTTGAGATTGAGATGGAAAACAGACCATGTGATCCCTCAAATGCTTATGCCTCTTTCCAATCCCCACCCAATTGTCTCCATTAAACTCTGTCCAAATTTATTTTCCTCTACACACCCTTTCATCTATATATACACACTCAAATACACACTGATGATCCCATGAACAATTCAAATCCTCAGTCTTTACAAACATATGAAATCTACTTTTTGTGTTTTTCTAAAATCTTTTTGGGTTTTAGAGAGAAACGAAACTGATTCCTGATTACAATAGAAAGGAGTTAGCTTTATGTAGCTCTCATGTGCTAACAGTAGTTCTTAACAGATTTGTGACTGAACTAATATAGCTCACAACCTAATATTTAATTTATGATGAGTCTCCTGTTTTATCTTGTATTTGTTTCTGAGCGCAAAGCATGATCTATCTTGATCAAGGGCATGTACTTGGCGCGTACAACTTCAACAGGCATGGGAAGAATATAGAGCTAGCTCTTACTCTTAAAATTCAGATACTAGAGTACCACATGGAAAGAAGGTTGAAAGATATAACTGCTTATAAGAACTTACACGAAGCATTGTAATTGCCCAGCCTTATAGCGTGAGCTCGTAACTAAGCATGGCATTAAAGTAATTGGGTATGATGGAATCCAAGCCAAGTGGATGAGGTGGTTGTCATCTAATGGTGGATCCAGACTTTTTTTAAGAGAGGGGCAATATTTTAAAGTTTAAAGCTCAAAAAAAAAAATCCCTTTATTTCATAAGAAAATGTTAAATTGTGATGCCTAATTTAGAGAAACTTGCACTTGATATGGCAAAACTCAATCCCCGATTCTATTATATTGACTGGTTATGGGTTAAAAGAGTTTTTGTTTGTTGTATAATATTCTATTATATTTTTCAACCAAAATAAAATCTTATATTATATTGAGATTTCTAAGCTTTTAATAGGCAACATTTTGATTTTAACTGTGCTGAGCAATACTTTATTGTTCTTTCTTTTTGGGTTTAGTGTAGGTGACGTTTTGGTTTTAATGGCTTGGGTAGTGGGCCCACTAGAGCAATTTTGTATTTCCAATGGCTTTGAGAAACCAACTTTAGTGAAACACTGCGTTTCATTAAACATTACGAAACTAGATTTTTTACGATGCCGTTTCAGAAAAAGAAAAATTTGGGTATTATGTCTTCTTCTTCCTTCGTGAGGCAGTGCCTCAACCTCCATTAAGAACGCCTCTGCAACTTGTCATCTGCAAAATGAGCGGCGCCATGAGAACTTGCGAACCCTACGCAGTTCCGGCGAGAGGAGGTGCAAGTGCACCTCCTTGCGCCTATGTGGGTCCGCCACTACCTATAGCATAGTTTTGCTATCCCAGACCAATAACACAATAACACGTGGAAAAGTTATTCTACGTGTCACTGCATTATAGGTAAGTTTTTTTCCTGCACTTGGGTTACAAGGGAACCTCACCCTTGATGGGTGGGTGGCAAAATCAAACTAAGAAATGTGACCTGAGGGGCCTATGGTTTCCACATTCAAAATTGAATAATGGAATTTGTGGAAATTAGTACCAGTCTAAAATATCGATGATATCGGAAATATCGGTAGTCCAAAAACACGGAAATTTCGACGGAAATATCGGGATATTATCGATATCGATAAAAATTGAATAAAAACCACAGAAATTGTAAGAAAAACTTGGAAATTTTTATTGAAACTTTGGAGGATGTTTATTTAGTCAATTATCTATTAGTTCGTCACAAAAAATTGGAAGGAAATGCATTACATGATGGATTTAACTTATTTAAGTTTATTATATACCGAGCTGGCAAACACTATGAGTGTAGAAAATATATAGTAATTAATGAAAAAAGATTAAACACACCATAATCATTTATATATAAGATTTACTACAATATTTTACACTATATATACATTGCATGGTAAGATACATGAGTAATTTAGTACCACATAGAGTTCCTATGAGGTTCAAAATTTTCACTATCTTCATCATCCCTATGTGTAGAGTAAGTGTATTGTGAAAAGTAGTCATCAAATGATAAATCTTCAAAATAGTTTTGCATGTAATTGTTAACATGCCACCCAAAGGAAAGGTCAAAGATTCATTCTCATGTGAAAATTTGATTCT